TGAAAAATTTGTAAATATGAGAAAATATTATACGATTGATAAGTGTCTAATTAGTTTGATTTAATACTCACTTGAGACACTTATCTAGCACATTTTGTGTACATATTGATATTATTTTGATCTATATATGCTTAGAATCAAAGAGGTGCTTTTGATTAATGTTAGTACAGGGAATAGGAAGCCTTTGATCCAATTTGGTGCTTATTTTGTAGGTTTTGAAACCTGGAGAAGAATGGCTCAGCCATTCTAAAGCGCTCAGCGGAATCAGGTCAGAGAACTTCCCAAACTCAAGGCGCTCAGCCACTTCAAAGCGCCCAGCGGATTGGCCTTGGAGGAGAAGGAGTGCTCTCTGCCTTCAATCCGCTCAGCCATTCCCATCCGCTCAGCGGATTTCATCCAGGAACAAGGGGTGCTCTCTGCCTCTAAAGCGCTCAGCGGATCTCAGGCGCTCAGCCCTTGAGGTTTCTTCATGGTGAAGAACTCCCAATCCGCTCAGCCGTTTCAAGGCGCTGAGCGGATTCTTCTCTTTCCTGCCTACTCTGTTTTAATTCTAGCAATTATAAAAGGGCAGGGGAGAGAGAAAAGGGGGAAGAGAGACGAAAACAAAGAGAAAAACAAGAGCTGGGAGCACAGGAGGAAGAAAGAACAGAGTGGGAACGAAGATTTGGAGGCTGGATCACTTGGGAACGAGGATCAACTCCTTTTCTTCATCTCTTCCTTTGTAATTTCTTCTTCCACTCCTTTGATCTTGTAAATGGCCATGAGGGGCTAAATCTTTGAGGATTGGTCTAGATGTAACTACTAACTCTTCTTCTTCTTAAATATATATATGCATTTCATTTTCATTACTTGTGTTTGATTCTTCTCTTAATGCTTATATCGGCTTGATCACCCGTTGTATGATTTTTGGTTTTTGAATCCGGTTGGAAAACGTTTTTGAAAACCCGAACTGAATCTTGCACCTAAACATCTCTTGCTCTAGGAATAGACTTGATTTGTTTAGTCACCTTGTTCAAGTCATTGTTCTTAATGCAAAGTGTTAATCATAAAACATAGAGGAATCATGTTTTAGATTAATTACTTTAGGATTCAATTTTGAGGGATCTTGTTGAATTACTAAATGAACGTGGAAGTCATGAAGATGAAATCATATTTATTTTAAGGAAATTTAGGAGTTAGCAAGTGCTCTAGGGTCCAATCCTTGTTTCATATAATTGTTCTTATAACTTTTACATTACCGTTTTAATTTTGCCTCACATTAGCTCGCTTCCAATCATATCAACATCTCTATATTAATCATTAGAGTAAGAATTACTAAATTCTCAAATCCCTGAGGACGATACTTAAATACTACATCGAAACTTGGTCCGCTTGCCAAGTGGAGAGATTGCGAAAATCGTCATCAACGATGAGTATGCATTTATTTGATGTAAAAAGAACATTATGTGTTGGGTGTAATTGCACTATTATAGAATGTCTTGGTGAGGTTAACCTTTTTATGACAGAAAAAAATTACACTTTTCATACAATGTGTTCATATATATGACGAGTACAAATATATGCAACTCTAAAAAGTTTTTTCTATGTTGGGTAAAGTCACACTTGACATAGAACGCTTGTTAATAAAGATGAGAATGCCTGTTAATAAGGTTGGGAACGCCTAAATCACACACTATTCACCTCTTTAAAGAATTACGATCAAGAGTGATCATTCTCTCATGCACTATTCACTTAAACCCCTGTTTCATTCTCTCATGCAACCAAAAGTGACACAACTTCTCTTATTCAGACGACTTTTGACAACACTCCAAGGTACTCCGATGACCAAAAATAACCACATTCATTTTTTGACGAGCTCTCATGTTTGTTAATTTTCTGCATATCTTTCTTTGTTTTTGTCTCACAACATTATACGACATGTTGGTGATTAATTGAGTTCTTCTAACGAGGATCGATTCTTATTTGTACCTTGTGTTTGCTGACATGCTTAAATCTCTTGTTTGGTTGTTTTATGTTAGTGCACATTACATGTTTAATGAAATGCATGTGTCAAATTTGGGGCTTTTGGATGGTCTATATGTTAATGCACATTACGTGTCTTGAGTCACTTTGATGATGCGTAGCTTTTTTTGTACATTGTTATAGTTTTCTTGTATGCATTGGTATTGATATTTAACATTGTTATAAAATATTTTTACTTTGACTCGAGAGTAGTTGTTGATTGTCATTAATTAATGGCAATATTTGTTTACTTTACTTTCATTGTTAACTTTTTTTGATTGCTAATTTACTGCGTAGATTGTTTGATTTTAAATTTGAGAGATATTGTATATTATATAGGATTATATTAAACTAGGCAACATATATTATATAGAACTACGTGAAAATTGTATTTTTTTATGTACAAGTTTGGAAAAAATTTAAAATTAAAAAATACTTATAAAAAAAAACTTCCCTTCTTATGGTAGATGTGATCACACCTATCATAAAATGTAAGTGTCGATGTGATTAAAACACTACATTTGGTATTCATACTATGACAATGTTAACCACTCGTCATGAAAAGATAATTTTCTATGTCAAGTGTTGACCTATCATAAAATATATAAACATTTTATGTTGTTGGGATCTACATTGAGCTTAAGAATGACATAAATTGTGCAAAATATCTGACATAAAAAAAGTCTTTAACATAATAGTTGACACCTCGTATTTTGTTGAGAGAGAATCAAACTTATTTAGCCAACACCCTATGTTTAAAGTATCATTCATACAACTCTTACTTTATGAAAAGAAGGAGAAACATGGAATGACTATTTGGTCTCGTTGAAAAGGATAAGAAAAACACAATGATATATATATATATATACACTGGCAACCAATCATATATTTTAATAGTGTTATGTCAATTGCTTATTTAATGAAATAATAATAAAAATAAGCAACTTTAAAAGATATGATTGGTTGCCAGTGTAAAAAACTTTACACTGACAATGTATAAATGATTAACTCATATATATATATATGTGTGTGTATAAGAAAATGACTTATTTGATAAGAAAGATAATGTTTGATGACAACTCTTAAATTAAATAATGATTTAGAATAAAATATTACAAGACAAAATTAACACATATTAGTATCATTGTGATTATATCTATTATTATTAATGTTATCGTAATTGCTATTATTATTATTTAAACTTTACCACCATCACCACCATTAGTTGATAACAATGGTGACAATAAAGATGGTGATCAACGAAAATGATAAAGGTGGCGGGAGGATGGTGATAGTGGTGACATTAGTGGTTGTGGCAGTGATGTAATGGTGGTGGTAGTGACAATGGTTGAGACAACAACAATAATTGTGTGTTGTGGTGGTTGCAATGGTGATGACAATGACAAGTACATGCTAATTTTGTTTGTAATATTTTAACCTAAATCAATTATTTTTATTTAAGAGTTGAAATTAAACATTCTTATTCTCACATATGAAAATCCTTCTCATGATACCTCATTTATATATGAAAAGTATCAAATGTGAGCATGTATCATTACCAAGGATGAGAGAGATAAATTATAGCTTTTATATTATAGATAAAAAAATTGGTTAATGATTAAGATTAAAATTCAATTATAGGCGCTTTCTTACAAAATTATTACTATTGTTGTCTTTACAATTATTATTTTCACTATCACTCGTCGCCACAACTACCCTCACCATCATTGTTGTTGCCATTATCGTCATCATTGCTAAGTGATGGTGACACTAATGATAGTGGTGGTGGTTACAACACCACCACCAATGGTAGTGGTGGTAACAATGTTGAAATAATGAAGGAAAATGTTCATAAACTATTGTTGTCTTCAACTTTTGAACTATGTGAAACTTTTGGAGGACATTAAAGCAAACTCCCCAATTGAGATTAAAGGGCAAGAGTTGACCCGTATTCTAGTGTTAATGTTTCTACTTTAAGTCTACTAACATTGTCACTTAGTTTTAGAGAATGTATTTACAACATTCACTCACTCCTTTTATGGACCAAAATGACTATTTAATAGGAATAACAAAATGGGTTCAACTTAATGAGTTGACATGCATAACTTGCTCAAATATATTATGTTAGATTGCACTTTTCAACCATTAAACTCACATAATCCAATATGCCAATTCAATAGGTTAAATGACATTGGATTGACCCATTTTATTCCCTTGACTTTTAGCTATTAACATTGATTAAATGTGATTTATTTTGTGATTTACCTAACATTGATCCATTTATTGTCGTCGATGAAATTTTCTTAGTTGTATTATGAACTTATTTTAATATTTATAATAAACTTAATTTATTATTATCAATGAACTTATTAAATACATATTTCATTAAATATTTTTTAAAAAGATATTTTTCTTAAACAATTAAACATATATTTTATAATTTTTGCAATAAGTTAACAGGTTAATCCAACCCAAGACGTGTTAGGTTGGTTGAAAATTTTAGCTTAATGAAAAAAAGACTTTTGTTAAGTACACTTATCTTTATTAATAATACACTTATATTACATTTTATAAAAATATATTTTATTTTATTTTTTAATATTTAGACTTCACACACGTCATTCAAATAGGAAAAAACAAATTTTCAAAAAGTAGCTTTAAGAAATTATCGATATTTAAAATAATTTTGTATCATTGTTTATCAAAAAATTAAAATATGTGATTTACATAGTCAAAATATTTATTATTATAACTTTTTAATTTAAATTTATATATAAAAGTGTTTATTTATTATATTTTTTTATATAAAATAATATAAGCATCGGACAAATGAAAATACTAATTTTAATAAATTTAATTTTTTAATTATTCTTTAAAATATTTAGTATTTAATATTTATTTCAATATTATTTTTTTAATTTACAATTTCAGACAGGCAATTTTTTAATTGTTTTTCACTTTTTTTCTTATTTAAAATGGTTTTCCTAATTGGTTCTCTGATTTTCTATTTCCAAAACCCAGCTTGTGTTGTCTCTAGAGAGTGTCATTTGTACCGTAATCTTGGCCTCGCATATTGCAGAAACCACAAAATTGAGCCTAAACGATGGCTTCGCAGAATGGTGACGAGAGCCACCAACCGCCACCGCCACCGCAACCGCATGGTACTGATACACGTTCATCTTCTTTCATTTCTCAACTATAATTTGCTGAAAAACAAAAATATTGCTTCCATTAATTTAACTAAGCTTTCGATTTTGTTTCAATATTAATTTGGTTTCGCAGGTCAAACGGTTACTGAAGCGGGATGGTATGTTCTAGGCGAGGATCAACAACAGGTTGGTCCTTACGCCTTTTCAGAGTTGCGCGGTGAGTTATTGGTTACTTTTTTTTTTTTTTTTGGAATATTTTTGTGTCTCAAATGAACAAAGTGGAGTAGAGCTAGGGTTAGGTCTTGTGTATTTCGATTTTGTTGTTTGTTCCCCAACTAAGTGAATACTGAGGCAGCACTGTTTCAGATTTTTGAGCACACTTGTTTTATGTTGGAAGTTGAAACCTCTATTTGTCATATTTACATGGGAATTGGCATGGACAGAGCATTTTTTGAATGGATACCTCTCCGAAAATACGTTTGTGTGGTCCGAAGGAAGGAGTGAGTGGCAGCCCTTGTCCTCAGTTTCTGACCTGTGGACTCAAATTAACCAGCAAGGACCTGATTCTTCAACTGCAGGTATAACTTTTCTTATTTTTCTCTTGTGATTTTAATTATTATTGTTATTTGTTGTTGTTGTTGTTTGTGGTGCTAAGAGAGTGACCTGTTATGTAGTGTCTGCTCAAGATGTTGATGAGTTTGAAAGATGGCAAAAGGAGATTCAGGAGGCAGAGGCACAGGTGGAAGGTTCGGAATTTGGAATTGTTTCTGGCGATGTTGGCGGTAGTGTAGCAGGAGCAGATTTTGAGAGACCTTCAACACCACCTGAGGGTGAAGAAGAATTTACTGATGATGATGGGACTGTATATAAGTGGGATAGGAATCTGAGGGCTTGGGTTCCCCAGGTTGGTGCATGACTTGTGTATCGCATTTATTATTATTATTATCATCATCATCATACTTTTTTAATCCAATACTTTGTATGGTCAGTGATGTTCTTTGTTATATAATTACGATTAAACAAAGATAGGTTAAAGGCTTAACTAAATTTTGAAGTGCAGGATTTAAGATTAGGTTTAATCAAGTTGTCACTCCTTAAAAATTGAACTGTTTTTGAAGCTTATGTGGTTTCATAGGGCTGATTTTACTTTTATCAAGCTGTTCAGTTGATTTGTTTCCATTTCTGAGCAAGTTATCATGGCATGTTAATAACATTGATGTTTGTAAGAGATGACTACATATTGCTTTAGATTCTGCACAGGCCAAATGGGCATTTGAATCCCAAGAATCAGATATTGCTGTAATAGTTCATGTTTAGCATCCAGCAGAATTGATTTTGCATATAGCACACACAATCCCATTGGGAAGAAGAAAAAGAAAAAATAGAATATTAATTTGATACTGTACACTTCCAAATAAAATAGAATACACCATGTTTGGTAATTTGGCCATTCCACAAGTGGTATTGCTTAAGAATATTAAAACTAGTGTACACTTTCAAAATCAATTCTCAAAATTTAAACCAAATGGGCCTTAACTATAAGGTTCTAATGGAATCTGAAACAGTTAGTAAGGCCATGTATACCCAGACCATATGAATGAATCTATTTTACTATCAATTTGATGGTTAAAGTTTCAAACTTTCAATGAATAACATAATGAAAACTTATTAAGTGGAGCTGCAGGTACATGTGAGATTTACTGTGCAGATGTTTTTATGTCGAACACAAGTATTAAATAATTATGCATGCACCTTTCGTCTTTCCTTTGAATCTATTCAATGCTTCATTGCTGTAGATTGTAGCTGCTGTTCATTAACCACAAGGCTGTTAGGTATGAAATTTTCACGGCTCTGTTGGGTACTAGATCTTAAAGGCAAGTTTCGGGAATTCTTTTAATTCATAGAGAATTAATACTTCCGCTTTCTCTAAATTTCTGGAAACCACCACGGCACCACCCTATACAAGTATGCATAAGTGTTTCTCAAGTGTAACTTTTTTAATACATTAACATGTTTTAATTTTTTGAATTGGAAAATCTAAATATTCTAAAAAACTGAATTAAGCTGAAATGCTTCTGTTCTGGATACTCTCTTGTAATTGGTCTTTCCTTTTAACTTGGATTTCATTAGTTCTCTTTTTGGTTTGGTTTCTGCCAGTTCCATTTGTTTTTCCTGTGAATCATGTGGTCTTTTCATTATAGTATATGGAAATCAGAATGTCTTTTCAACCTCTAGGGCTGTTATGCTTTCTTTTTTGTGTGTATCCTTGAAGTAATGATCCCTATTTATCTCAGTAATGCCCTTGTATTTATTCTTTGGTTGTTAATTGATTCTTGAATGTATTTTTAATTGACTTGTTTTTCTTTTGGAGTGTGATTAATGGAGCTTTTATATCGTAGGAGTATCCAACTGGCAGCACCGATCCTTACGGGGTTGAAGAGATGACCTTCTTGCTAGAAGAGGAAGTTTTTCCAACAATACCTGATTCTGATGCCTCTGAAAAGCTTGAAGATAGTTCAAAATTGTTTGTTTCTGCGCCTTCCTTAAAGGAAGAAGTAAATGAAGAAAAAAATACCGATGTGGTAGCAGATGGAAAAAGGAAGCTTTCAGATAAACAAACTGACAAGAAGGTGTACCTATTCTTTCCATCTTGTCTGTTCTAATGGTTTCAACCTGAACCAGTTTCATATCTTTGTTGCTTTGACTTCGTAATGAGTAGCTCTTCTGGGAGACAAATGAAATGACAGTTCTGTTTGTTCTCATTCTGTTTCAGGAAGCTAATAAAGCCCCTGATAGTTGGTTTGAATTAAAGGTCAATACACATGTTTATGTCACTGGGTTGCCTGAGGATGTTACTGTTGATGAAGTAAGTATCAACTTTTTTCTCAATTTGCCTAAATGTAATTTTTGTTGCAATGATTAATGTGACATGGGTAATACATTGCAGATTGTAGAGGTATTTTCCAAATGTGGAATTATAAAGGAGGTATCTTTCTATTCTTATATTATATGTTATCTATTCAATTGTTAATTATAAACTATTGAGCTACAATTCATGTCATTATATTAGTTTTTCATGATTGGAACTTAGAAGTGTCTTAAAAAATGTTATATTTATGTTGGGGGAGGAAAACACTGTTGACACTGTTTAAATTTATGGCCCAGTGGCTCTACAATACTGCCAAAAGTATGAATTAACATTTCTACACATGGAAGAGTAAAGTATGTTGCATATCATGTTTGATTGTTTGTCCTTTTTAATGCTATCGCAGGTTTTTATAGTAAGCCTTGTATTTGTGATTAAAATTTTGTGAGCCTGTTTTCCCTTTACTGGGCAGATGCACTTGCCAATACCCTAATCATAAGTGAATCACAATGGCCAAATTAGTTCTCACTAAGAGTGTCTTGTGAGAGGCTATTATTTCAAAAACATTCATTGTGGGGTGACAATATGTGAATACTCTTAAAAATGGAAGACTAGCTATTTGAGGGTATTGTAACTCATACAGGCTTCTTATGAATGCATGATCATGGTTATAATAGGACCCAGAAACCAAAAGGCCTCGTGTGAAGCTCTATGTTGATAAAGAGACAGGAAGGATAAAGGGGGATGCTCTGGTTACGTATCTTAAGGTAACTCTTTCCACTTCCTTTTTG